CACCCTTTTCTTCAATACAATGGATCTATTTAAACATGCATTTAAAAGGAAAGTGTATTCCTTACTCCTGAGTTTTTCAAGCTATTAGTATTCAGCTGCTTTTCACAAGGTGACTGGTACCAAGGATCGTTAGCGAGCTTTGTGGTGCTCCCCCCAGCCCTTCTCATGTTGGCTGGGGGGAGGATAACCTGGCTTTCGGAGGGGCTGCCCAGGGCAATGGGAAATGGAGGGAGTCTGGCCCTTTTGGGCAGGGGTCTCGGAGGTAAGATCTGGTGTTGCTGTGTGGCCTTTTTAACTGCCTCAATGTTTATTTGGGGCTTCCCCTGTTTTTCTGGTTTTATTTATTATTTTTTCTAAAAAAGGTCATTGTAAACTCAAAATTTTTGCCCAAAACTTTTTTTTTTCCTGCTTTATAGAACTGTTTCCAGCAGAAAGACAGGTCGTGGTTTACTTATATGGCTTTAGCATATGGTTTAAAATATATAGCATGTAATACAAATGTTAACACTTTACAACTCTGCTAATTTTTGTAAGATCAGAGACTTCAGGAGGCTCTGGATTTGTCCTATAAAATAATCAGATGAGCAGAGAGCTTTGGCAACTTAATGTGCAAGGAATAATAGAGAGTGAAAACTGGTTGGGTGTTTTTTTAACTCGCTAGGACATGCTGAGCTTAGTGCTGCTGTAACACAGGGGCTTTCTGCAGAGTAGTACCTTGCCCAGTAAAGTCTATTTTTAAATGCGGTGGCTTGGTGCCCCTACTAGCGTGGTCAGCCTGGCCGTGGTGGTGTCTGTCCTCTCGTCACACTCCTGCTCTGCTCTTTTGCTGGAACTTTCTTTGGAGTATTAATAACATTATTGTGAGAAGGTGCTTAGCTCCCTGGCCTGCCGCCTACCCTGTTGACTCTGAGGGTAAGGCTGTAGGAACAGCACTTTCAAGCAAGGGGCAGCAAGTTGTGCTGTTGAAAGGTGTTAACGCTGTTGTCAATAGAGTTCATGACTGATCAACCTTGTTGTTCGCTGAGGAATGAATCATTTCTCAGTCCCCACATTAGATGCGGGAGCTGTAAGCAAATGCAACCTGTCTAGGGTAATGATTTCCACCATGACTTCACTTGAAGAACATCTCTGTTTTATGACTGCAGAATGGGGTCACTTGTGCATTACCTTTTCCTACATTGCAAACACTTGTTTTATTCATTGCAGTAACGTCAAGCCATTCGTTGTACTCAGAACGGCATGTGCACCAGGTATTGAAGTCACCCAAAGGGTACGATAAACAAAGAGATTTTGCTTCCTCGTGTCATGTTCATCCCGTATTTACCCTGTGGTGAGAGCTCTGTTAGCACAGGAAACTGCTTAATGATATCTCTGTGTTTATTTTTCCCTTGTGCTTAGCATGATAGTTACCTATTTATTTCTGCTGAAGAGGATTACAGGCATTTTTCAATTATAAATGATGCACGCAAGCATTATTTATCCTGTTTACTGCAGACCTGTAGAGTGTTAGTCAGTCTTGAGCAAAAGCATCTTGTTCAGGAAACAACATTTGTAGTAGTGGTACTGTGGGTATTTTAGGGCAATTTCAGGATGGTTTTCCATCTGTTCCATTAATACTTGCTGTGCGGCACGCTCATGACCAGCAGCATAGCAGGTTTATGTTAGCACGTGAAATTCCTGCGCTTGAGAAATTTTCATCCGTGATGTTGTTTTCTGTGTTAGCCTCTTGAGCGAGGAGGGGGAAACTCATTGCTCTTCTCTCACAGGAGAAGAACAGCTTTGCGCAGCTTTGGCAGGCGTGTGTTGGGTGAAGCCTAAGTGCCGAGACCTGGTTACAGATGCATGGTCTTTCTCTAACTCTGCAGCCAAGGCATCATGAGAAATGTGGCATGGAAAGTCAATCTGAAGAATTCATTGCTGTTTTCCTTCAGGATGTATTCATAAGATAATAATAATAAAAAAAATACACTGCTGTAATACAGATTATATAACAGAGAAAGATAAAAACAGTTTGTAGAAGAATATAAGATCAAGCTTCGTGACATGGAATCATAAAGGAGGTCAGAAGGACACTTCTTATTCCAGCGATTTTTGTCCTTGTCTTCCTTCTGCTTTTTTTGCCCTCCTTTTCTTTTAAGTATCAGCTGTTGTCAGAGACAGGATTCTTGTATGGGTGAATCTCTGATCTCAACCAGCATGGTAGCTCCAGGTCAGTTAAACCAGAGATGTACAGCAATGGGGATAGAACTTGACATTTTGGGTTTCAGAAACCTCCTTTTCTCTATGAACACAGGCAGAAAAAGGATACAGAGAAGCGTAAAAAAAATAGAGACAAAATTCAAGGTGGGTTTTTTGGGTTTTGGGGTTTTTTTTGAGAACTTGAAGAATAAAAGATGTAAGAAAAGTTTTGCTCTGAAGCCTGAACCATTCCATGAAATGAGGAAACTTTTGGGCACTTTTCTAATGGTCTTGCCAAGATCCTGAAACAGTTGCAGTGAGGTGCAGGAGAACAGTGTGTGAGTATAAGGAAAAAAGGGAAAAAGCATCTGTATATCCCATACAGGTCTGAACTGACATCTCTGCAAGTGGCACTTGTTTGCATGTGATTTTTAAAGAAACATGAGATCCCACTCCCCATGCCCTCGGAGAAAACATGATTACAGATGCATGGAGCATTTGCTTTCCAGCCCCCAAAGAAATAACATGACCGTTGATTTCATGCTATTGAAGAGCACAGCACATTTGCAGAATATGTGATCAAAAAGATTGCGTAGCTGGATCTATACAGGCATACCACCTCAGCAGATTAAAGGGGTGCTGCCAAGGCTGAGGTTAAGAATTGATCTACTTTGACAGAAAATCCCAAAAGGAAGAGTTTTAACCTTTAGGATTCCTTCCATCTATTTGCTTTCTTCAAACTGATTGCAGCTGTCACCAGAAATAAAAACAAAGCCAACAAAATAAACCCCTTCACAACTTATGGTTAAGCAGCAATAAATAAAACATTGTTCAAGTCCAGTGCAAGTTCTTCTTACAGTCTTGTACTAAATTGGTGGTAGCTTTTTTAATGATTTTTTTTTTAGTGGTAGCTATGGCTTGGAGAAACCTGAATAAATGGAAAAGATGCAGGAACGTGTCTTGCAACAGCTCTGCATTTTTAGTGTTTACTGTTGATTTGCCAGAAGCCAGACAGAACCTACAAAGTGGGTCATTGGGTTCAGTGTACTGTGATTATTATTTATACAGAATCCAAAGTGTACAGAGCACCCCTCTGGGCATATAAAAGTTCATGCTTCAAAGAGCTTACAGCCTTCAGGGCTAATAATATTATTGCCAGTAACATCTGAGCTGTATATATTTCAAAGCTGCTGTTGCTACTTTCATAATTTTATTGCGTGCCTTGCCCTACCTGATCGTTGCAAGTTCTGGAGTACTCTGATGAGAAAAGGATCTTCAATTTCCATTTAAAACACCAAACCAAAACAAACCATTTTGTCTCTAGACAAGAGCACGAAAATGTGTCCTGAACACAGCAGAGTAGTTCAAAGGCCAAATAAACAGAAAAAAGAAAGGTGGTTTGTTGTGGTTTTCTTCAATGCAGTTGGCTAAGAAGATAATGAGGTTTCTAAGATTCCTAATTAGTCTTGGGGAGAAAGGACGAGAAGAGACGTGCTTGTGTTTGTGAAACTTGGGCCAGTTGATTCTGGTTCTCTCCTCAAGCCATTAGAATTTGGGATTTTTTTATTTTTTTTTTTACAATAACGCATTTTTGGGATGTGCTGTGGTCAATGGTGTCCTCTTCCTAAGCGTGCGCTCCAAGCTGGTTCTGTGCTTCACGTGACGGTGTGTGTTCCCTGTCGGGCACAAGGTCCTCACTCAGGGATTTCTTCTTTTGTCTCCACTCCTTTCCTCATATGTTAATACATGGACATAAAGTGACCGAACTCTTGTTTTTCCTCATGACATTGAGATGATGGGCAAGCGGGAAAGTACAGGAGCTCTTCTGCATTCAGTATGTTTGCCCATTGGGAGCAGTCCATCCAAAAATGATCAACACTGCTCAGGCTTCTGATGCTGACTGGTGGCAAAAAAAAAAAAAAGAAAAATGTACCATGTGAATGAGGTACATGGCAATACTTATTTCCCAAAAGCAAATTGGTAATTACCTTAAATAATGGAACACATTCACAGAAATTGTGAGTTATTCCTTCAACACCTCTGAAGAGGCAAAAGGTTAAAAAAAAAAAAATTGCATTGTTGGTTTTAAATGCCTTTGCTGTGTTACAAGCAAGTGAAGTGATGGGTTTAATTTGGAAGTTGTGGAGCTCAACAGGGTTAATCCTTCCTGCTGCCTTCCCCCCTCTCTCTGGTGCTGGCTCCCACCGTTGTGGAGGACGTGGGCGATTGCTGGGCGACAGAAGAAATACTGCAGGATACCAGTTTTTGGGCTGGCAATTGCATTGACAAAAATTAGAGATACCCTCTAGATCCTCTCACAAAGCTTTTTTTCCTCTGCCTAGTCCAAGTGACACTAAATTAAATAAATGTAAAAATACGAATAGGAAAGAGATGCCAAGGCCCAACTCCATTACAGCTGAAAGGGGCCCAGCTTCACTGACTTCAGTGGCAGCACCAGATTTATTCCCATATCAGTAAGGGATGGACTGGTCTGAGATAACTTCTGTTTATCACAGCAGTTTTCCTCTATGAAAGAGGAAGTAGCTGGAGAAAAACGCTCTCTCTGGTTTTAGGCTTTGCTGGGGTGATGATACAGCTAATGTTTTAATGAATTCAGCGGATGCTTTCTTTTGATTTAACCTTCCTTGCTTCATTTTATTGCGCCATGTATCTTTGGCATTTTGTGAAGAGCCATTGTAAATGTGAGAACTAAGCAGCTTGTTAGATAACATCTTTTTTTTTTTCTCTTTGGAAGATTAAACTGAGACTGTTCTGCCTGATGCCAGGATAGATGTAACCAATCCTGTATCCTTTGCATGTAGGTCAGTCAGAGGGACAATCCAGCGCTGGATCCCATTATCCATGGGTTGAAGGGCGTCGTACATCACGGTAAGTAGCTGCTTAAACTTTCTTCTTGCCGGGAAGGGGAGAAGGGCAGGAATACTGTCCTTACGGGATCAGGTCATCCCTGGAAGGACACGTTGAGCCTGCACATTCCTCATTCACTGATGTTTAAGGGCATCACAGCCATTATTTGATTGGTAAAGATCGGAGTCATTTGTTACCCGAAAATGGGTTGGGGTTAACAGTAAACAATTTGTTTCTTTTCAGTCAGTGCTCTGGAATAGGTAAGTTATCAATCAAAACTCGCTCCTATATATCATTCATATTAGTACTTCGAAGGCAGCGTTGATGCTTCACTCCTGCTATTTATCTTCTGTTTGCTCTAAAAATACTCCTCTCTGAAGTTTCTATTTGTTTATAAATTATTTGTCTTTCAAATTTAGGGAGCTGATAATGAAACAGAAAATTAACTATCTGTGAAAATTAATTAAACTTTGCAGCAGATGAACGTCTTTCTAATGCTGACATAAATACGATCATTCGGCTGTTCTGATGCATATAAACCTATTATCCTTGAACTTATAGCAGGTACTGAAATAAATATTAATATATTTTATACTTTTATAACCAGTTTTTACTTGGGAATTTTTCTGAAACCTTATCATGGGTAATGCATCATTAGCAATGACATCGAGATGCTCCAGTTCCCAAAGTACTCTTGTCAGGGTTTAATATAATGATTTGTAAAGTTTTAATAATCTCATTGTAATTCAAAAGGCATCTGCTGGAATAGCGCTAGGTACTGTAATAAATCTCCGTCCCATCTATAGTGCTGTGATAAAACATCTTTGCACCTTTTCTGGGGATTGTCTTTAGACATTAGCTACTGCTGTAGAGCTTAATAAACATTTTTTTTTCTCTTGACTGCAAACCTAAAACTAGTTGACAGTGTTAGATTAAAACAAATAGGGTTTTGGATTAATTGCTCTACTTTCAGAGTCATTTAACATTGCAGCCGGGGACACCAATAAATCCAATGAAAGTGAAAAATAGGGGTTAAATGATAACATACCATAAAGTCCTTCATTTAGAGAATTTTCCATAGGTTTTGCTGCTTATAAATTGCAGTGTTCTGCTGTGAAATAAAAACAACACACTGAGCTAAAAAACTGTGTTGTTTTCCACAAAAATAGATGTTATTATCTAGCTCCCACTGGGTAACAAAACAGGCTAGCAAAAATAAAGCCAGGACGAGTTGGGCTGCAAGGATTTTTCTGTGGCTGAGTAATTTAACACTGAAGTCAAGCTGCCATTTAACTGGACCAGGATCTCTTTTTAGCTTTGTTTTCTACCTGCCTTCTATTTCAAGACTCTCTACCCCCTGCAAGCGCAGCAGTGTTTTAGCCATCTCATCGGATTTTTTCTGCTCCGTCTCTTGCTCCTCCAGCCGAAATAGCCACTCGTGGATAATCATACCGGTGTCTCCTGAGAGTATTATTCCATTCCCAAAAATAATTGTTTGGGTAGGATGTGACACGGTCCCGAGGTTGTGATTCCCTGACCACATAATGATTAGTCCGTCTTGGGGCTGCCTACCCGCAGCAAAATCTGGGTGGATAAAAGGCGTTTATTTTAGTTTTGCTCACAATGCACAGAAGGCAGCTAGTGTTTCAAGTGAAGGAAATCGCTTGATATATTTCAATAGCTTGTTTCCTTTTCAAAACATTAAGGAAGAAAAAGAGGAAAATCTTGCTTTCCTTCCTGTTTCAAAGGCCCTGATTAAAGGCCTTTTCTAAGGCTCTTCTGGTGGCTAGAGTAAGGGAATTTCCTCCTACAAAGTAGTTGTTCAAAGAAATTGTTCTCTTTAAGCTAAATATTGATGGAACGCTTCAGTGAAGAACTCTCGTATCATAGCTCTCTTTTAATGTTATTATATAGAATAATAGTAAAGATGTGAGCTTTTATTCCAGCCACTCACGTTTCTTTTCTTGATGTAATTTACTTACGCCTTACGTGAGCACATTTTTATGAATTTATCTGAAAAAGTTCTTCCTGCCTTCCATTTGGCTGCATTCAACTGGGACCCTAAGGCAACATGGGCTTTTTGGCTGAAATACAGCGGAAAACTCTTGTGGTTTTTGGATAGAGTGGTTGGATCAAGCAGGGATCCAACAAAAGGAACTGGAAAAAGGCAAAATTGAAACCTTAAGTTTCTTTGCATTTCATAACACTTCCATGCCCATGTTGTTTTTAGGTCGTCGTCACAACACAGAGGCACATGCCTATAATGTAGAAATCAAGAATACATATGGATGGTGAGATAACTGCCTTGCTTTTAAATCAGACCATGTTTATATGTCCTCTGCTGGCTGGAGAGATCACCAGCCCCTCAGCTTTGCTCCTCCCATGTGCCTCATCTCAACACGCCTATTTAAGTAAAATTTCCTTGGGTTTCCATATCCCTCTGCACCACTCTGCGTAGGGCATCCCACGCTGGCCTGTCCCCATGATGGTGACAGGTCCAGTGACCCTCAGTCAGATGTAGGTAGGGATGGTACTGCTGAGCAGTGAGCTGGTTTTTAATTTTTCTTGCATAGCTTTTGGGGTTTTTCTGTGAAGTTCTTGTATTCTTACAGTGCCCTTCCAGGGGTAAGTGAACAATTTAAGTGTCAGAAGCACTTTCTGTGGAAGTGAAAGCAATTTTTGCTTGAGATTTCGTCAGGGATTTGAATTACTTACTAATTTGATGGAACATAAATAATTGTGCCCTTCACAGTGTCACCAGCTTAGTAACAATGATGGAGAAACGCACGCATAAGAATCAATACAGGCTTAGTCGCTACTCAGAGTTCACTTTGTTTCCTCATCTCCAGGCATAATTTTGTAGAATCTTAATGCCACATTAAGCTTAATTTTACATGAGCAACTGGAGAAAGTTTCCTTAGCTGGAAGGAAAAGCAGTGGTGTACCAAACAGCCTAACAATTTTGCGATCGATGATAATGGTTTTGGGTTTGTCCTGCATCTTCCTGCCCAACAGGACATTCCCATCACGTCAGTGCTCCCCAGCTCCCGCATCTGCCCTCACAGGGCGTTGTAAAGGCACGGGAACGCCAAGGAGGCTCTTCTCGGAGCTGTCAGATGCCTGTTGCTGATTTTAAAATTGCTTTCAGTTTTGTGCTCTGCCAAGGATTTGTCACACCTCCCGCCAGCGAGGTGCCTGCTATTCTCACTCCTGCTTTCCCTGCCGCAAAGCGCGCGGCGAGGCTGCGTCTGCCACCGAGCCCGCCAGGGACTGACAGCTGGGAGCGTGCAGCCCCCTCTCTGCTGAAGGGGTGGGGTACAGGCAGGCGTGATACGAATGTTCCGATGCCGACTCGCTGGTGTGTCTTTCAGCTCTGACTGCTAGGGGTCTTTTTTAGCTCCTCTTCTCACCATGAAAGCTGATGGGAAAAGTCTCCAGCAATGCTGGTGCTGGTGGGATGATGCACATCCTCAGTTGAAGTTGGATCATTAGGTAAAGTAATAAAGTCACTAGTGCCTGGCTGCGTTTGCACCACACGTGGCCCAGTCATGGTGCTGCAAATCGGACTTTTCTGCCTCTGTGTTGCTGCCAATGTGCTTGGGTGGGTGCCCTGCCCTGAGCACCGCTCTGCTCCTCATCCTTCCTTGTGATGCTGAGGAGCACGGGGCAGGATGGACCTGCTCTTGTGCAAGGGCTGAGGCAGCTCCTGAGGCCTCAGAGAGAATGATTGTGCCCTCGTGGGAATAGGGGAACATGAAATACCAGGTTATGTCTTATACAGTTGATTTGCATTAAAATAGCTAGTAAAGCTTTTGTCTGCCACATGCTTCAGCAAGATCTCAGAGGAGCACCTCGCAGGATGGAGCTATTGCACAGAAACATTGCTTTTCCCCACCTCTGCTGTCTTTGACTTGCCCTTTTTAGTACTGTTTTGTATGTAAGCCTCTTAGAAATGCCTTTTCCTTGTTCTTACCAGCTGCCTGAAAGGCATTAAAATGAGCCTTCTTCCCCAATGTCAGTCCTGAGGGCAGCGCCTGGTGCTGGAGGCTGCACAGCATTTGCTCTCCCCCAGCCTGGACATAGGTGCTCTGCAGGGTCGTGTTTTACCATGCAGGCAAATGGTTGCAGCCCACACTACGCCAGGCCCCTGGGAAATCTTTCATGGTGATGGAAACCATGTTTTGTCGTTCTGTCCTGTTCCCTGTGTCTGTCACCAAGAATCTACACGGATCAGCAGAAAATTATTAGCAGAGCACAAATAAATTACCACAGCAGAAAAGCCTCTATTAATGTCACGAAAATGGGGCTCTTATTCCCTTCCTTGTCAAAAGTGAGCACTGAAAATCAAAGTGCAGCCAGATCAAAAGCTTAGGTACAAAGTGAATCGATGGCATCTGTTGCTTGTTTGCGAACGTGGGTTGGGTTGAGGGGAAGAGAGGAACCTTTGTTCATTTAAAAGGGAATTTGGGAAAAAAAATCTTGCTTTTTTTCTTCTGCCTTTGTATTATTAAAATGCCATAACTTAAGCTCAGCATGGAGCAGAGTGTGATCTTGAGTCTCCCTCGAGATGGGCAAGAGGTGTTCAGGCAAGTTGGTGGTGACCACCAAAGTTTCAGTGGAGACCGTACCAAAATACAGTGGAAACAGAATTGCTTCAGTAAAGAAAAAGGGTAGAGAATGAATATGTTGCACATCTCTCCAGTTGTCCTAGGCAAAAAGGCAAGGAATAACCTGTTAAAATAAATCAGCACTAAAAAGGAAGCAATCCAGACAGTGTTAGTTACCCTGTGGATCTCTCACACCAGAAGGCATAACAAGAAAACACCATTAGTGGCATGACAGGTTTTTTTCTTTTGTTTTTAACTTTAACCATAACACCACCTGACAAGCTGTTTGCTTTCTGCACCAAATATCCAGGGGTTGTAGAGAAGAAAGGCGGGGGAGAAGGGTGAGGGTGAGATGTGATACCATGGGACCTCGTCTTTTAAAATAAAACTTTGAAGGAGGCAGCAGCCCAATTT